GGGGGGGGGGGGGGGGGGGGGGGGGGGGGGGGGGGGGGGGAGTATTGTCCTTCTGTCGGGATCGCTGCCGAGGTCCGGCTGGGTGTTGGTTGATGGGGGGTGAACGATCACATTGTGCATTACCTGTTGGTACTGCCTATTATTGTGTTGTTACCATCACTAAACTGTTTTTATTTCAACCTACAAGTTTTTCCTTTTTGTCCCTCCCCTGTTTTCCTAGGTGAGGGAAAGGCTGCATGGTGTCTGGCTGCCAGCTGAGTTCAAACCAGGACATCACCTCTTTTGGAACTTCTGATGCAGTTGTTTGAGGGTGACTTGTGCAATACAGTGCATTAGGACAGAGAAAGTGGTAAATTACATTTATCCAGTGTTGTGATATAAGCAACATGGAAATATCACCTCTGTATCAGTGTCAGTGTCCCAGCACTCTGGCCATTCACTAGGGTGTAGTGGACAAATGCATGTTAACTGGTAATGAACAGAAATGAGCAGTGGGGACAGTGTTTAGAAGTGCAGTCCTGTCCAGCTTTTTGTAAAGCCATCTCTTGTGCTATAAGTCCCCAAGTTCTTATTTACATTACTTGCATCGGGGAAATACTTTTTTTCCTTTTTGAAAAAGCCAGAAATAATCTGAATATTTTTTCCTAGGGGGCAGGGTTGTGGGGGAATTGTGCTGACTGTCTCGCTGCTTATTCTATATTAGAGAGTCTGTTCCTCCCTGTTCTGTATTTCTTGAAAATACTCCTGTAGAAGACCTGTTAGGAATGTGACTAAGAAATGGAGAGGCTGATCTGTGAGGATACTTGCCTCTTTAAAGTCTATTTGTGCTTCTCTTGGTTACTTCCAAGAGCTTAAGATACCCTGTGGAGAAAAGATTAATTTTAATACTGTAATTTGAATCTTTCAGGACTGAGAAGACATAATACACATTTTCCAGCCATTTCCTGTCTTCCAAGAGGAATGGGAAAGAGCTAGTATTTCAAAGCTGAAAATGTAGCAGGTTTATCATGGGCCTAAGGGAGAGTGTATATATTTAAACCCCATTTTACTTAAGTGACCACTGAGCAGAGGAGTGGTTTGAAATTGGTGTCTGCAGTAGCCTCTGCAAGGAAGAGGGCTTGGCCTGGGGGCTTGTCTGTTCTGGCCTGGGTAGGGTCTCTGTCAGCAGCAGTCACAGAATGTAGGGTTGCATATTGTGCTGTGCCAGTGCGCATCCTCCCGGGACTGAGGCCTCCCTTTGTGTTTGGGGTCTCTTGCTGCCCTTCCCTTTTTCACAGGGGAGCATGTGCAAAAAGCATGGCAGTTTCCTTGTGTCTTCCCCTGAATCACTGTGCTGGTGGTGTTTTGCATGCAATGGAAGCTCTTTGCTTCTGTATGCCTTCTACAGGGGCATGTACACACTCTGCAGCAGGAGATGGTTTAAAGGGAGGGGGTTTAACTGATGTAAAGGAGGTGCTTGTGCAAAAATGTCATGAGAGGGCCTAGGCAGATGGGTTCCTTGCCACAGTGATCTTCAGTAGGTTCTGGTCAGTTGTTACTAGCAGCAGGAAAGAAACAGTGAAAAATTGACTCCTGTTCATGAGGGATTCCTGGATAACAGTAAACTGCTGTTAAACACCTACTACTCACCTCTCATATCTGGGCAACAAGAACTGGCTCTAATGAAGTCAGTCGTACCACAGATGCCCCCTTTTTTCCATTGTGTGACTCCACATTTCATCCCTCATACCTTTTAACATACATTGGTTTCTGGACAAAACTGGTTTTCATAGGTGACACCTTCAGATCTGTATTTCTTTATTTGACTATCCAGGAGTTGTTTGTAGCTGTGGAGTCTCCAGGGCCAAGTCTCTGCCCTGTCTCATCATCCTGTGGCTTTACTTCTCTACACAGCATCCTTTGTGCTTCTCAAGGTTTCTGCTGTCACATCAGGCTTGTATTTCTTTATATTGCATCAGTATGTTAGTGACAAATACCTTATTCTGCACAGAGTACAATCTGTGTAAAATTAGGCTTCTATGAAGTAATCATAAGTAAAAATAAAGCAAATTAACCAGAACCATCTGCTTAGAAGAAAATACTGGTATTACAGTTAAACCGAGTTAAAACAAAGTAGAAGTCAGTAGAAATTTGGATGAGGCAAGCCTGCCAAATCTCTGTCCCAAGGCTTTGCAAACTCAGTACAAAGCCTGTGAGCTGCAGCCTGTCAAGGATCACCCAATCTACATTTATTTCCCTAAAGCAAATTTGCATCTGACTCCTGCTGCAGAGACAAATGTAAGATTTCTGTCTTCTCCCAAATGTTTTGGCATAAGTGTCATGTCCTTTAACTTGTTTTTATGTGTCCTGAAAGGCAGACCCACTGATACAAGAAGCTTGTGGCTGAATGGGGGGCCTCTGGGAAGGGCATAGAAAGACACTGGATGGAGGGACCAGCCCGGGGACCATGTCACAGTATTCAAGCATGTGTCTTGCCTCCTAGTAGTGGGAGCAGCTGATGTCCTGCTTTTCTGCCTCCAAATTGATCCTACTCATCTCTTTTCCATTGGCCTTTTCTAGGAGGGAAACTTTCTTTGGAAGTGAGGGGTTTTTTTAATGGATTGTATAGTTTTGTTCGTTTTCTTAAAAAAAACCCTGTTGTTTAGGCTTTTACCACCCTGCCTTGGTGACAGCAAGGAGCACAGCTCTGATCCCTGCATGTTTAGGAGGAACAAGGGCTGTGTTGAATACTCACCAGGAGGAGGTGGAGCTGTTCAGGGGGTGGATATGTAGTGGGGGAAAGGGAATATGCTGGGGTAGGGCTTGGAAGACCCTTTGTCAGTAGAGCAAACTCCGCCTGTACTCATTGTAGCCCAGTGTGCAGTGCCCAGCCCACAAAGAGGGAGCTCAGGTCTGGCAGGGGAGTTTTATTACAGGGCTCCATGCCCGTGGCTGTGCTGAGCACTGGACTGGGGCCGAGGAGTGCCTGGCTCCCTAAGTGGGTCTCCCCTGTGGAAACTTTACTGGGCTACAGATTTCACTTGGGAAATTTGTGGAGTCTGGTGCTGTGAGGGTGAACCTCTGTTACTTTGGGCAAATGGGGACTCTTGGATACCCTGTGGGCAGATGGATGATACACAGAGCCCAATCCACAGCATTGCTGTGTGAACTCCCACCACACCCAGCTCCAGCCTACTTGTCCTGTAAAATACCAGGCAGAAAGCAGCATCTCTTCAGAGTGGCTGGCACCTCTAGTACCGACTGCAGAGCTGATGCCATCCCTGGCTGGGGACTAGTGACAAAGTGTCTTGAGGAATGAGGAACAGCTCTGTTGGTTTACCCAAGGAAGGCAGCACACATTGTGTGCTGTGTGAGTAGCCCATGGAGGAGTGAACTAGTAAGTCATTCTTAAGTCACATGGGTGAAGCTGGCTGCTTTAGGAATGTTCTTGCCACCAGCATGGGCAGAGCCAGGGACTGAAGAGGTGCAGAGATCATGCCTTTAAATGTGTGCAAAGCCTGATGTTGCGTATGCAGTCCAGATCATGGAATAACTCAGGTGGGAAGGAACTTTGGAGGTCTGTACTCCAACTTCCTGCTCAGAGCAGGGGCTGACTGGGTTGCTCAAGGTTTTAAACAGCTAAGGCTTGAAACCCTCTAAGGATGGAAAGCTGCACAACCTCTTTAAATGGGTGAAAACATGTTTTCCACTAGAGCAAATCTTTTTCTTTCTATCCAGCTTGGATTTCTCATTTTAACTCCTTTCACCGTGCAGCAGGGTGATGAGCCTGACTCCACCTTCCTGATAACTTCCTCATAGGTATTGGAAGGCTGCTGTTAGCTCCTTCCCAGGCTGAACAAGCCCTCTTCCCTCAGCCTCTCCCCATGTTGTGTGTGATGGCTGGCTCCAGACCCCTGACCGTCTTGACCTCAGATTCTTCTTTCCTGGCTGCTCCCTGGCCAGTCACCTCCCAGCACGTGTTTTTGCAAGGGCATTTTCCTTACTGGCTGCAGGACTTTGCATTAGTCCTTGTTGAACTTAAGGTCCCTGTCAGCCCATCCCTCCAGCCTGTCTGGGTCCCTCAGGATGGCAGCTCTGACCTAGAGGGTATCAGCTGCTCCCCTTACTACATTGCCATCTTCAAACTTCGTAAGTGAGTGTGTTGTTGCCTCTGCCAGGTCATGGATAAAGGTGTCAAACAGGAAAACTCCCAGGACTGACCCATGGATGTGACCCACTAACAACTGTCCTCTGAGTCTTATTGCCCAGCCAGGTTCTTCACCCATCTAGTTGCCCACCCATCCAGACCATAAACTCCTAGCTTGGATGCAAGAATATTGTGGCAGACAGTTTTGGGAGCTGAGGCTGAGCAGCATCCACTGCTCTCCCCACACCCATTGATCTGGTCGTTTTATCATAGAAAACAATCAGGATGGTCAGATGTGATTCACCTGTTAGTAAATCAACACTGACTGTTCCCAGTCATCTTCTTTTTTATGTGTCCAGTATTGTGCTCCAAACACATTTCTGTGGGATTTTTCCCTCTTCGTTACTTTTTTTTATTTTGCACTTAAGGAAACCTATCAGGAAAGCAAGCCTTTATCTTGGCTGACATGGGAGCTAGACTGGGCATCAGTCCACAGTCATCAGGGCAAAATCCAAATAATGTTTTATTTTTTCATACTGTCATGTGTACTGCCAGTGTGAAAATACTTCGTGTGCCTTCCATGACAGCCAAAAGGGCTCAGTCCAAATCCAGTTTTGATCTTAAGGAGAATTGACCTGGATCAAATGGCCTGTGATA